CTCCCTCTCTCCCTCCCTCCGACCCATACCTGTGGAGTCCGGGTCGGGCCGAAGTCGGGGTTTTCCCATAAGCGGAGACGGTCGTCGGTGCCCGTGATGAAAAGGGAAGGGGAGAGCGTCACGATGTCTTCAGCACCTGCGGGACAAGCGTATTTGAATTATAACAGGGAAAAGAGAAAAGGACGGTAGAAGTGCTTAGCACCGGCCTATGCTCGCCGCTCGTATTTCTCATTCCCTCATGGACACTTATCTATGGACCGTGTGTAACAACACGCCCCCGTAGCATATTGCGTCCATACAGATCTGCGTGCTTCTCGCCGTCCTTCTTCTCACTTCCACCACTTCCACCAAATAATGACAACTGATATCTTGGATTGCGATCCGCTCTATTACTTCATGAACCCCTCTTGTCTCAGGTCCCTGTGCATGTTGCGATACTTATCTTATCCTACCTTTTCCCTTTGAAACTTTTGGGCCAATTTACTATTTCTATGAAGATTTTCCCTCCCCACCAAGCTCTTCTCGCTCTATATTTTTATGCCCTCACCGATGATAGACTCTCGTCCCAATGTACGACAAATGAATCCGGAAGGTGTTGGTACGAAGTGGACTTCACCATCCTCAGAGTAAAGTCTCTCTGAGGGCCGTGGCGAGGGTTTAAGAACGTCCAAATCGTACATCAGCATGACAAGAAAGAGGGAGCCGAGAAGGAATAGGACCAGACTTATTGTTACCATGAATATGCGAGTCATGTTGGAGCACCTGTATTCGTCCAGAAGCACGTGTTGTATAATAAGATCGCTAAGTGAGAGAGTATACATATAAAGTTCCCGACAGGAGGATGCCCCTGAAAAAATGAAGAAAAGATGAGACTTTCTTAAGATTTCACGGAATCTGGAATCGACAAAACGAAGGCTTGACATGTTGTCATCTCCAGGTCCTTTCTTTCTACCACCATTCTATCGAGCCTGTGCGTTTCTCCGCCTTATCTTTCTCCTTGCTAAAGTGCAGGGTACGACATGAAACCTCACGCATGGTACTTCGCCCATAAAATGCCCAACATCCATGATGGTGGACACTTTGTTACTTACGTCCACAATTGTGGCATATTATCTTCCAACCTGCTTGTGAATGCTGTCGTCAACCGAAGACGGTTGCTCAAAATTTTGAATATCCGTTCGCCGTCCTAGAACGCTTGACAACAAATGATATATAGCATTTCTCGCACATCCATTCCATCAGTTAGGTTTCAGTCTTGCATGGCTCTTGAAGTAGGTTGAGTGTTTTTCTAAGAAAGATTGGGAAAAAACCTGACACCTTGATATCTCAGGCCTGCTCTAGGAAGCTACGTTGTCCCAGGATGCAATGTCGAGGTGAACAAGAAAGCGATGTATTCATCCCGATACGCATGTGTGTGGGGATATTTTCCGAAAACGTCTTGTTTTGTATTTTGATACTGAAAATTTCAAACAAATGTAGAAATGATTGTTTTTGAGCGAGAACTTCTTCAAGTACTTCAGACCCGGATGGAAATGGCAAATCTGGCAGCTTTATTTACTTTCTGGCTTGCACATTTGCACGGATGGTACACTTCGGATATAAAAATGCTTGCTTGAGAACCTTTTATTCATCATGATGTATGTATTCTCATGAAATATAACCGTCTTTGTAGTAAAAACTTCAAGCAAGTACCCGTTCTTACGTGAAGAATTGGGTTTCTAAGCGTCCAACCTCGTGGTGATATGCCTGGAAATGCGAGGCGAAACCCCTCCACATCAAGCCCTGAAGTGTGTTTCAGAGTAGAACAACATAGACACATCGTTTTTCTAGGAAGAGATCAATCCATTTCTGGCCTGTAATTAGGAAAGGATTTGACCCATTCCTTCTGAAGGGCCAAGTCCTTCGTTCGCGCCATTTCCATCCCTTTCGCTTGCTTCAACGCCTGGCGGCGTGCCTCCTTCCGAGGAGTCGACTCCTCCTCTCCCTCCTTCCCTCCCTCCTTCCCTCCCTCCTCCGCGGCGAGCCGATCCAGCAGGCGCTGCAGAAGGAGGAGGGCGGCAGGTTTGTGGAGCACCGTGTTGTACGACGAGCAGGAGGGGAGGACGAGGCAGGAAGGGCAGCCAGAGAGGAGGTCGCAGGGGCAGGAGGCGAGGAGGGCGAGGGCTTGCGAGAGGACGTGGGGCAAAGCGCTGGAGGACCGGGAGGGGGGAAGAAGGCAAAAGGGGAGGGAAAGGAAGGAGCAGGGGAAGCG